ATATACCTACCAAACGTGGACCAGTGTACATGTTCAATAATTCAACTGTTCAATATTTCTGTTTTATCCAAAGGTAAATCAGTTGTACTCATTAATTTCTCTACAATACCATGAACTGAATATTTTCCTATAAACTGATCACTTATAGCTTCATCTTTATTCCGGAAATTACAACTATTTAAAGAGAGATGACGTAAGGCTAAAATGCAATCGTCTACTTTTTCATCTGGTAATTGTTGTCGTTTTCTGAAAGTAACTCTAGTAGCAATTTCATTTATTTTTGTGGTGTACTTTTTAGAAAGCATTTCCGTAGTTTTAAGAAATTCAGTTCGTTCAAGGAGAACTTCTCTAAGAGTGTAAAATATCCTTTGAGCTTCAGCACCAATGCAATGTAATAGTAGAGATCCTTTTCTTCCGGTTGAGCAAGAATTACCACCAATGACTTCAATATATACTGAGCGCCATGGAAAACGCATCACTTAGTTTTTCGTATAACAAAATGATCCTGTAAACATATCTTATTTATTTTGCTTCTTATTGTGAACAATATTCAAATGGGAAGACATCAATAACAACACATTTGTACACTTATAGATGTTTAATCTGTAATCAACGGTACAAAGTCAGAGGGGTCAAAACCAAAAGTACGACACATATGTCAGTAGCGCGTGTTTCCTCCACGGACTCTTACGCACGCTGGGCAGCGACGTCGCATGGAATTTACCAATGTTTGAAAGAAGGCCTGGGGAAAATTGTTCCATTCTTGGACAAGAGCAGCTTCTATAGCAGCAATGGTGTGCATCTGTGGTCTCCGATACAGACATGTTCTATCGGTGCCATGTCCGGAGACATGGCTGGCCAGTCCAAGACATTGATGTTGTTAGCAGCCAGGTAGTCCATACTAAAACGGGCCGTATGCGAACGTGCATTATCCTGTTGGAAGTGCTCAAGTTGTGGGTGCGCTCGAAACATCGGAACAACAATTGGTTGCAAGACATCATCACGGTAGGCTACAGCATTAACGCGACCCCTGCAAATGTGTAGGGCGGTCCGGTGATGAAATGTGAAGCCTCCCCACACCATTACACTTCCCCCACCCCATCGATTCGTTTCGAAGACGCAGCAGTCTGCAAGACGTTCCCCAAGACGTCTCCACACACGTTGACGGTCTTCAGCGAGATAAATATGAAAGCGACTCTCATCACTGAAGAGTACACTTTGCCAGTCTACTCTTCTCCATGTCTAGTGTCCTTGAGCCCATATCAAACGCCGCTGACGGTGATGATCCCTGAGGATAGCTCAAACATAAGGTCGTCGTGCACGGAGTCCTACTACTCTTAGACGACGTCTTACGGTGTTGGCACTTACTGGTCCTTGTCTTCCGACAACTGCTGCACCTGTTCGAGTCGCTTGGCGGAATCTGTCACGCAGATGAGTGACCCGGATGTAGCGGTCTTGAGCCTGGGTTGTAACGCGTTGGGAACCAGGACGTTGACGGTTACGTGTTGATCCAGTAACTCGAACACGTTCAACCAACCTTACAATAGTGGACTGATGACAATTGAAGTGTTTGACAATAGCACGTGTAGATATGCCAGCCCTGGACATTCCCATGGCTTCATTCCGTTGATTTTCAGTAAGTCTCGGCATCTCTAGCTCGATTCCTTCACACGTTCAGCAACAAATTACGACAGATTGACGTTTCACAGTTCATGTACTGCACATTAAGTTGAAAACATACTTTTAAAGGGCTCACACACAATGCTGCACGTGAATATTGGGTTTTTCGTGTGCATCTCGTGCAATTTTTTTTTTGTGCACACGGGCCGATATTTTTTGCGTTTGGGAGCATTGTGTGAAACAATAGTTCATAGTATTGCATAATATTATACATACAAAACCACCTAGTAATAAAATATTTGGGAAAAAAAGTGATGCGTTTTCCATGCTGCTCAGTATAGTTGTCAAACATAGGAAATCCAGTCGTCCCAAATTATAGCAGGTTTACCTGGCGTAGAAAATAATGGGGATGGGGCGTTCAAACTCCAGCCAGATGCCATCTTAAACGGCTTAAATGTAGAAACATGTAGCAAAATCGTTGTAACCGAGGTCTGCAACCACGTGGAAATGATAGACGTGGTGAGATTTACAAGTGTATATAGCATGTACAATTGACTCTAGACTTCAACAATCCGCGTCGTTGCCATATCTGTAATATCGGGATTGTGGATTCGGTTCATAAATAAGGAAGAGAGGAGCCAAGCAAGAGGCAGTTTAGATTCTAAGACATTTTTTCAGCCATTACACAGCTGCGCAAGGGAGATTACTCTATTGAAGTACACAATTAGAGCATTAAATGGCCACAGATCACTAATGATTTCCTCATTGATTTTAATGTTAATTCTCGTCTTTTAGACCGGCTCTAGCATTCCCCCAAATTTCCGTTGGGCAGAACGCTTTCTGCCACAGATGGAGCAACATGTGGCCAACTCTTGCCCAAAAGCATGTATGAGGTTCACCATAAAAAACTTGAGATACACAAGCTGGAAGTAGAGACAAGTAAAATGCAATTTTTCGGCCCTACATTTCAACCTAACCAACCTCTAACTCTTGTATCCTTCCGCCTCAAAATCATGAATATTCACCAAAAAGTCATGCAAAAGGGGGAAAATGGGGAAAGGGAGAGAAAGACTAAAAATAACTTTCGCCCTACATCCGTGGGTGACGACGTAGAAATATTTGGTGAAACTTGAGGTATCACCAAAAGGCCCCTTTTTATATGCTTTCCATATGTTCTGACAAAATGGTGAAAGAAAATCAAAATCAAAGAATAACTGCAAAAATGCTGCTTTATGTACAGCGGTGCATCTCAGGTCCCCGGGCCTTTTGTGCTAAAATTTAAAAATCTTTCTTATTAAAGGCAGTATTTGAGTTCTGTGAAAACATTAGACAAATTACAAACAAATTACACAGAAAATACTTATAATCTGGAATTTTCTTTTCAAAAATATATTTTTTTTTACAGCCATGCAATGAAAAATGTACAAAATTTAAATGTAGCATCTTTCAAAAAAACAATAATTTTCCACTTTTTTAGATAGCTTGACTGGCAAGGAATATGTTTTTAGAAACCCTGGACAATATGCAAACAGAAAAATTACAAATCAGTTACATTGATTGTAATATTAGAGATATATACTGAAACATGTTTCCCCACCCCCTAAACATGTCACTGACTGAATCAATCTAATCTTTGGTTGCAGAACTAACATTACCAAAGGAATCCGTCTAACTGTTATGTTTTACCACCCCTGGCTAACATATGCACATATAAACTAAAACTAAAATATGTGCAATAAATATGAATCATGGTTAAAAATAGGTCTTGATATGAGAGAGAGAGAGACAGAGAGAGAGATGGGGTGTAATGTCCACTCGACACAAACTAGGTCATTTCGGGACTAACACATGGTTCAATTTTATTGATTTTTACGTCTGTAATAGTTATTACAAGTGTTGATAATTTCACGTGCTGTGGTTATTTATAGACACAAAGAGAGCCCGAGACTCGTCTGAAATCAGTTAGAGTTACGTCACTGAAGCGTGCACATTCAACGTGTCGAGTACAACTTTTAGTAGAGAAAAGTTTCGGCCACGGGGCACCCTATCAGTAGGGAGCCTGTTTGCGGATTAATTACTATTTCATGTTTTAATTTTCTTGTACGACTGATTGAGTTATTTTGGCGACACGGACTTTAAATTTTGCACGGAACGATCGTCACGTTACGACTTGTTGCCTTGATTGCTGCTTCGGAACTGAAAACTGTTACCAGGTTGAACTTAGTGTTACAGTACCAACGAGGAGGGTTTCATACGTTGTAACAATGTCTGCACATTGTCAGTCAATCGTAGAGGGATGAAATAAATAGGTTTATTGCGTGTTTTTGTTTTGAAATGTATCAGTTGGTTGGCCTTGAACTTGCACGTCGCTTTCGTGACCTTGGCATTTGATTTACCCGCAGGCTTCAATGGAAATAATGCGTATCGATAAACTAAATCTCTTGAATTTCGTAGTTTAATGGTATTTTGGATAACAGAAACTACCGAGAAATTGTCACAAACATGTTATATTTCTTACTCAAACGATTAATCTAGACTAAACTATTGTCGTTTTTCAAAAGTATTTAATAACTTTTAAACTATACACGAAATAACCAATGTTCCGGCGATGCCTAGATTTGAAATGTCAGTCCCATGGACCCTTTCAATAATAATTTGAAAATGCCAAAGTGCATCTATCTTACTAAATTAAAATGATTTTTCCCAATATAAAATACCCATGGCTCCTAGATAAATCATCATAACCCCAAAGCCATAAATACTTTGGCTCTAGGACAATTTGTCCCCAGACAATTCGTCCCTAAGGATAATTTGCCCCCGGACTATTCGTCCTCAGGGACGAATTATCCGAGGACGAATAGTCCGGGGGCAAATTGTCCGGGGACGAATAGTCCTTGGGGATGAATTGTCCGGGAACGAGTTGTCAGGGGACAAGTTGTCCGGGGACGAATTGTCCCGTACCCCTGCGCCACACATAATTTACAAAAAAAACCAAACAAATATACGGACAAGACATAATACGCAAAAATCACAAACAAACGCACAATTCAAATAAAGTGAATGGATCCGGGGGCTAGCCGTAAGCGTCCACTGCGCTGCACAGTCCCGGACCTGTAGTGACACAGACTTCACTCAAATTTGAAAACAATCAGGAATATAACCCTGAGAAACCATTGTGTAATGCCAGCATAAGTCATGATCTGCTATATAGGTAACCACATAGGTAAAATGTATAAAAAAAACAGGTAGTCTAAAACTAAATGCTCTAAATCAATTGACAAACGTTATAGTATTCAATAGAATCGAGGCATATTGAATACTGTAGGGTAAGATGCAAACATTGTGAACTTAAAGTATAGAATTTAACTTCGAATAATTACCTGGGCATGCGCAATATAGAACATCTGTTCGTTCGATAGACCCAAGCTTGGAGCTGCTTTTTCAACACCGTGATCGTGCTCCCATTTCTCATAAGCCTGAAGAAAGAACAAAATTAAACCATAGGTTATTCATTGGCTGTATTCAATGGCTGTATTCAGTGGTATTTGCTTGTATTTGCATGTAGTTATAGAATAAAGACCATTATTTATAATCATGTCGATGTACATAATTATTATGCATACAAATGAACATTAAATAAAGCAACACAATCTCTACAATATTCGAACAAGCACCAAGCTTATATCTCCTAAGATAAATCGTGAATTCGAGCACATGTCTCCCCACACAGAAGGAACCATTGTGTTAAACCCCATTCTATTTCTTCGAATCATTTAGTTTTCCTTAGGAGATTTTTTTCATTCTCATGTTGTATTTAAAATGGTTTTCATTCTCATGTTGTATTTAAAATGGTTTATCTTGAAAACACTTCATATGGATATTGCCGTAAATAGGATACCTTACTAGTAAGTGCAGCGGGACTGCGCCACACAAAATTTACATAAAAACAAATACACGGACAAGATATCATACTCAGAAAAACACAAACAGACAAACTATTAAAAAAAAAGTGAATGGATCCGGGGGCTAGCCACAAGCGTCCACCGCGCTGTACATTCCCGGGTCTGTAGTGACACAGACTTCACTCAATTTAAAACAATAAGGAACGCAACCCAAAGAAACCATTGTTTAATGCCACAAAAAATACGAATGCAAGCATATTATGTAGTAAAATTCAATTATATAAGTAACCACATCGGTGAAATGTATAAAATAGTCTAAATATAAATCAGTCAACAAACGTTTCAGTATTCAATGGAATCGAGGTATATTGAATACATGATATAGGGTACATGTTCCATCCGTCACAAAAACACAACTGAAAACAAAGAAGCCAATAGGTGTAATACTATAGGACTTCTTCTTGTTGTGTTTACTTTCTGGTGATCTTTAATAAGACTACAGCATAAAATAGTTTCACAGCTTTATTATACTGGCTTTGCAGGTTCCTCGTTCTCAATTATAACGGCTGGTAGGAAATTCTGGGTGAGCTCTAATCCAGCTCTCCTCTACACCCTAATTTATATCCCCTAATTTCTGCAGGTCTTCGATAACCTTGACGTTATGTAGACTGTCCCGAAAGACAGACGTCTGCTGACTGAGTGACGTTATCCGGGAATGACGTCTAAACTTAGAAGGTGATAAAAAAAATCACAAAAATAACGTTAAATGCTTAATAAACCATAAGTTTTAGCGACCAATCGGAATTATTAAGTTATGTAATTGTACAATTTATAATATATTAAATTAATATCCCAGACAAGAAATGCAAAACAAGTATGCTGAAGAAATCGTACTATGTAAGTGTATTTATAAAGGCATAACAATAAGGGGGATAACTCAGACAGGGTTAGGTAACTACAGAAAATCATGATAAAATTTGACTTGGATCATTATCCAACATAGGCGTACGAGCTGGGGGGGGGGGGGGGCGGCCGCCCCCCCCCCATTTTGGGCACCAAATGCTGTGAAAATTTGGGCACATAATTGTACTTTGTAAAAGTTGTATAAAAAAAATATTATGTTCTTGAATGTGTCCAATTTAACAGCGAATTTATTATTATTATGTAACATACTAAGAACCTAACTACATTTTTTGGGCACCAACCAACACCGCCCCCCCCCCCGCCCCCAGTCAAAAATTTCCCCGTACGCCTATGTTATCCAATATGTAGTCGATTATATATTTATAAGAAATGTCAAACTTGGTATGTTGAAGAAATGGAAGTTTTGAAATTTCTTTTAAAATGCGTAATTGTGTGCCGCCTTTGGCAGTGCATTTAAAGTAAAGAGATTTTATTCGAGAAAGAAATAGTTCTTTATTGTTACATATTGTCAAAATCGTAATGCCTGTGAATAGAACCACTATATAGCGTGGTATCTGGTATGTTACTATAGATTGACGGGTATTTTACTACTTCAAAACTAAATTTGTCCGTTTTGTCGAAAATACCGACATTAAATTTATTGTTAATTATATTGATGTCCAGGTCAAGAACAGATGCATTTACAGTGCCGGAATTTGTTTTATTTAATATTAATTCAGAAGGATATATTTCACTTTTATATTTGTTGAAATTTCCGTTATCATTGATAAGTGTTATGTCATCAATATATCGGATGGTATAGTTTAGACTTTTAGCTAATTTGTAATCTGTTTTTCTTTTATGGTCTTGAAAATCGAATTCATATTTGTATAAATGTGCATTTGCCATAAATGGGACGGGGACAGTTCCCATCGGTAAACCAATAGTTTGCTGTATTATCTGATCCCCAACCTCAAATATGGCATTGTCAATAAGGAAATGTATGATGTTTTGAAATTTTTCTTTATCAAAAACTACAGTGTCGGCATTGCGACGTTTTATAATCCATTTAGCATCTTCTGCATAAATGGCCATCAAGTTTCTGCCTTTCCATTAAAGGTTTTATCTACAAACCAATCCAAATTATCTTTAAGATCTGCATGTTGAAGCATAGTATACAAAGTAGAAAAATCGAACGTTTCTATTGTTTTTGCATTAACTTTTTTATTGATTTTTTCTAAAGTGTCTACTATAGGTTTATTTTTATCAATTATGAAAAAGTGTTCTGCAACAAATAGCATGTTGGGTTTGGCATAATTTAAGTCCTTTGGTGACAGTCTTAGCTAATGGTTTCGTTTGGCAGATACTGGAGGATATTATGTATCTGAACTTGACTGGGTTTTATGAAATTTAGGTATAGAATACACTTTTAAGATTTGTTTTTTACATTATTCCCTTGACAACTTGACCTAACATTACCACCAATGTTATAACAATATAGTATATAATGAAGTGATAATCTCTGTTATGAACCAAATTAGATAGTTAAAATATTTGACACGTTTGTTTCTTCAAATGCTGCCTCATGTTACACCCACAGCAGGGTAAATTGAGACTCGACAGCATCCATCTGAGTAAAAATTAAACAAAGGTAACTTGATAAATTTTCGAAATTTACCCCCCTCCCCCCAAATCAAAGTCAATAATACCACATGCTAACAACCCCCTCGGCCCGTATTCTACGGAAGACCATTAGGCTCAGTCAAATGAAAAAAAATATTACAAGATAACCATTTTATATAAATATCTTGTAATTAGAAGATACAGAAAAGCCCATTAGGGTCAATCACAGACAAAAATGTGCTCTAACTAGTTTATTTCAAGGTCGCCTACACTGATTTATCGGATAGCTACGTTTTTATGTTACTGGATCGACACATTTAGGTCATGCTCCCATTAATATCATTCGTTATTTCATGAACCCATTAAAAAACATCCATTAAATTCATACTCTCATTTACTTCATAGTCCCACCATCTTCATACTCTCATTGATATCATTTATTAATGATTAATTTATTTCAAGCTCTTCTTGAAGATACTTTCCTGTGTACAAACTGTGTGATTTGATGATATATTATTATTTGGACTAAAAACATATTCAAACTACTTAATCTATCAAAAATTTGATTCAAATCCCTCTCAAAACTTTGTATTCGTCGGGAGATGCCGCAAGTTATAAATAAACTGTTTTTCAGAATGTATATTTCGTTACTTAATGCCCATTTAGCATACATATTGAGACCTAAGTAAATTCTTAATTATTTTCTGTCAACTACTTTTTTCACTGTTTAATCGCAGAGTCTTTTGTACGTTGAAACCCCTCCATGTTCCCCAAAACGCCTAACCATTTGATCAAGAAATAACAACCGCTCCCAGTCAAGCTAGCAAACAATAAGCTGGCAGACAACAGTCTGGTTGCCAGTTAGTGATACCCTGACATTTTTGCCCAGTGCTTGCCCCATGGGTGTTTTTCGGGTAATACAGTATTTTTCCAGTAAGATTGGGTGTCTATATATATACTTTCCATATATACCAAATTTGTCATACTTTTATTCAAAATAACCATCCGATAAATACTTTCAGGACAATGAGAGAGAGAGAGAGAGAGAGAGAGAGAGAGAGAGATGGGGTTTAACGTCCACTCGACACAAACTAGGTCAATTCGGGACTAACATATGGTTTAATTTTATTTCAATAATTCGCTTGCGCGTTGGGGTCTTTAGTAGTGGGAGGAAACCGGGGGACCCGGAGAAAACCCACGAGGTTGGACAGGCGACACTACTCCTTGCCACGTACAACCGGGGATTCGAACCTACGCCAGTTGACTCTATGACAGGCCTTATGATACAGCGCGCACGTGCTAACCATTCGGCCATCCAGCCCCTTGTTTAAATGGGATATACACGAAACGGCGCTAATCCAAAACGACCAAAACTTATTTGACTGTGTAAAGTTAAAACGAACGAAAACAAAACGGCAAAAAATGTCATAAAAATTTACCTAAATATACGTCAGTGGGTTCTTATTAAAGGGCGTATGGCTCCGTTGTTTGAAACCTTGGAATATACAAAAATGGTTCTAAAATCACATATTAATGTAATATGAATATGTGTAATTGATTTATATTCAATTTTTGAAAAAATAAATATTGTAATTTCTAATCAGTTATGTTCGAGGAATTACGCGAACAGTTAAAATTGAACGGCAGTCGTTTATGTCTGTTTAGTGCATTCTTAACTTTTTTAAAATTATGATTTTGTCGTTTGTGAATTAGCCATTACTAATTACTTCCACACTATGTTGTAGGATATGTTTTTATTTGTTAATATGTTTATTTTTTAAATTATGATTAATTACTAATTACTTCCACATTGTGTTGTAGGATATGTTTTATTTGAAGAATGCACTAAACAGACATAAACGAATTGAACGGCTGTCGTTTATGTCTGTTTAGTGCATTCTTCACTTTTTTAAAATTATGATTTTGTCGTTTGTGAATCAGCCTTTACTAATTACTTCCACATTGTTATGTAGGATATGTTTTTATTTGTTCCTTACAACATGGCACCTGAAACCATTTTTTTATAAGCAATAATTTATTCAGATTTG